CGGTGAGATTCACACCATCCTCTGTCTCAGTAAAGCCCAATCCATCAATCAGGATCCCAACCATCCCGGCCACAAACTGGTCTCCCCCCCTACCCTCTGGCAAGCAGTACCGCACCGTTAAAGCACGGACCATTAGACTCAAGACCAGCTTCTACCCTACTGCAGTGCGCATCCTCAACATCAGCTAACTGCAGGGCCTCAGACTCAACACACATCTGCACTACACACTTTTTACATGGTCTGTCATGGTTTTTTTCTCACTACTACATATTCATTGTTCTCCACAATGTTCTGTTCTTATTCTGTTCTGTTGTTATTATTTATTATGTGTGTAATGCACTGCCTACATTGTGTGGTGTTGTCTGCTGTACTGTGGACGTCCCAAGTGAATATGAATTCCAATGTACATGTAAATATGGCAAATAAACTCCTCAACTCTAGTTGAGGCTTATCTGTGCACTGTAATCTTGTCTTGACTTCATATGTTTCTTTTGTCCTTATTAGTTAATAGGTAGCTCAGACCTTAACGTGGTATGGACTGTAAAATGTCTTTTGACATATTTCAGCAAGTTTAAATTGAACTGGCTTTTTGTAATTAAAATTAACTACTAGAAAATGTCACTGCTACATACCTGTCAAAACCACAGATCAGGCCAAACAAGTTACACCCCAAATGAGTAAATTACTTTCGTAATTTCGTAAGGTTTGGTGTGAAACTTTTACAAGGAACGCTCTCCTTTACTACTAATATGTAATACTAATATTAATGCTTCTTTATTCACTCACTTTCATATACAGAAAGTTTTTAACAACCAGTTGTCCTGAGACATCCGCACGATTAAGAATTCCAATGTACACGTAGACTTGTACATATGGCAGCAAACTCCTCTACCTCTCCTCTAAGGAGAACAGTGAGCAATGAAGGAAAGATCTGTCTTATTAGGCTTGGTAACTTGCTAACTGATGTTGAGGAGAGGGCGTGCTGTGTTTAGCAAGGTGTTTAGCAGCCATATCACCCTGCAACTCACAACTGGCAACCCACTGAAGCTCAGCAGGTGTGAGCCTGGTCAGTACCTGGATGGGAGACCTCCTGGGAAAAACT